TGTTCAATCACCACCTTAAATGATGTAGATTGTCTTCTTGTTTGCCCCCAGGAGCCATTTACAGTAAGCGATTGGGCTAGAAATCAGCGAGCCAAGTCCTTGTTGAATTGTGTCGATCAACCTATTCTTAAAACCCATGGCCCATTGATGGAGATAGTGATGCTTTATCCCCTAATTATTAATAAGTATTTTATTTTTAAAAAATCCTGTTCATGGTTAAAAGTGGAGAAAACTAGTATCTTTCACAGGTGAACCACTATTTTTCATGGTCTTTCACCATGGTGTTCTGATGCATTCTCCCCTATATTTCCATGCACAAGATGCGTGTCCGACTGGAGAAATCTCGGGGCGAGTTACCAGGTGGACGAAGCACGAGAAATGTTGGACCTGGGAAAAGGAGTTCAACTGTATGAAAAGTAGCGTTTTTCACTATCAAACTTTAGGCTTTAACATGGTTTAGCCAAGAGAAATATAAAACGGAATATCATTAGATATTTGTTGGAACATGTTTGGTTTAACTTAAACAATGCAATGGAGATACAATAATATGTATTTATATATATATTTCTTGGAATATCAGCGGAATATCAAGATGGTTTCCAAGAGATTCACAAGACAAACAAGAAACAACTACCCCTATGGATCCAAACACTGTCTGAGAAGGTACTTAACCCCCTAAATCATACCCCAAGTACTTCCTAAGAAGGTACTTGGATCCATGGGGTATATAACATTCAAACTCTGTGTTTCCTTATGAAATTCTCAAGTTTCAAGGGCCATCATGAGATGGTTTCATTGGGTGACTGAAGCATAAGGAGTGACTTGCATCCTTTTGTAACCTAACATAGCTAGGTTAAACAAAAACAAACAATAGATTACCCATGTTTAATAGATGAATCATTTATATAAATGGTGCACATTGTACAATCATCAATCAACAGGGGTTTAAGAGCCACTGCTCTAATTGGAGATTATTTTTAGCCGGAGAAGGACCTTGCCGCAACCCCGAAGTCCATGCTTTGGAAGGCCTAAACCATCCCCTTTTTATCAAAGAAATGGGCTGGTATTCATGGTGTTAACAAGAGTTGGCGTTACTACACTTGGTGGACCATCCCACTTACTAAGTAGGTAATAGATGGCAATACTTATATCATTATATCCTTGGCTATAAGTGGGATAAGTAGGGTTAATTTACTTGTACCCTCTGGTAAACTAACATAACTATGGAAAATCACCATTTTTAATGGGTAAATACACTATAAATGACCATTTTGAATAGCTATGTTAGTTTACCAGAGGGTAACTAGGGTTACAACGGTTACAACGGATTTTATCATCTACTCAATAAAATAAGCATAGATCAGCCACCGAGTAGGCTTTGCCACATTACCCTCTGGTAAACGTTAACAAAAAACTATGGAAAATCACAATTTAGTTCGTGAGCTTTGCCATGAAAAATGGTGATTTTCCATAGCTTTTTGTATGTTTACCAGAGGATATACAATACATTATTATTGTTGGATGGTTTAGCTGTGGAAATTGGGTGTCTCCCCCAGTTTCCACCAAAAAAACCCTCAAACGGAAACTCGACAAAAACTGCTTCTCCATGTGTCATGTGGATGCCCATGTCACGGATGATGAATATCCCCGCTGCGCATTGGGTATCATAGCCATTCAATATATTTTCCAACTCGGTGGTATGTGTGAAAGGTAGTATCAAAAGTTGGTGCATGTTTATATTCCCGTATATTCCAACTAGTACTGCAAGATTTGCAAGATTGGATATTATGTATATGTGCTTATTTAGTTGTGCCAATCTATCCATGAAATAAACCACTTGACCGGACCTAGTTGTAAACCAAGATAAACCTCTCATAATTCAATTGTAAGGCCCATTTTGTTGGTTTACCCCAATCTTAATGGTTAAATCTCTTTTCTTTATCAATTCTGAATCATCAGTTGTGCTTGCTGGTTGAATCACCAATTTTGGTGGTCTTATCCACCATCCAATGATGATTCTTCATTTTTCCATTAGATTATTCCCTATACATATTCATTTCCGGTGGTAAAACCATCAGTTTTGAAGGTTCAAGTCATGTTATATTCTTATAATCATCATTTTGGTTGGCAGAATCACCATATTTGCTAGTTAAATCAGTATTTTCATGCTTCAAGTCAGTTTTTGTCCATCATTTTGAAGGTGATATCAGTGATATCCCCAATTTTCCTGATGAAATCAGCATCTTCCTATGGTTTTCCTATGGTTTTCCCATGGTTTTCCTATGGTTTTCCCATGGTTTTCCCATGGTTTTCCCCATGGTTCCGTTCACGTTTTCCCAGCTTCAACGGGGGCTTAAAACACCGAGCCGCAGGGATCTGGAGCGGAAGCGCGCGCGGTAGCCCAAGGATGGGCCGCCCAAATCGAAGCCTTTGATGACAACATCAGGACCGGGATATATGTTTATATATATATATATATACACGCATATGTGTAGATTTATTTATATGTATTCATTTATTCATTCATTTATATATATATATATATTCATTTATCTATTACTTCATTTATTAATTCATTAATTCATTACTTCATTCATTCAGTCATTCATTTGTATGTATGTATGTATGTACGTGCGTACGTAGGTACGTACGTAGGTACGTACGTAGGTACCCAGAGTACGCCTTATTGAAAAGATTCAATAAAGTTATTGGTTTGTCATGCCATTATTGAAATAGTGTTTTTATTGAAACAAACCAATAATATTATTGGTTTGTGTTTCAATAAAATTATTGGTTTGTTTCAATAACTTTATTGGTTTGTTTCAATAAGGGTTATTGGTTTGTTTCAATAACTTTACTAGTTTGTTTCAATAGTTTCAATAAGGGTGTATGTGCTGTTTCACAGAAAGTTTTAGGTTTAGACCCCATTCCAATCCACTAATCATGAATGGAACCTACAACCCATCCACAAGTATATATTTATATTTGTGTTTCACTCATGTTCAATTCCACCAGCAGCCTTTCAACTCACAAGCTATAGGGGCAAGCTTGGGCAAGGTCACTGCCCAACTGTCCCCTGCAAAAGGGTATTTGGCTTTTGGTCCTGCAAAAGGGCTTTTTTTTGGTCCTGCAAAAGGGCAATTTCTAAGAGCCATGGCCACAGAGATTGACCCCTTGGACATGCTCATCAGGCCTCCTCGCAACAGCTTTGAAGAGGTGGATGCCTACTGGTCCTACCTGGAGTGCACAACACCTCACTGTGGTGGATGGCTGTGGAGGAGGCACTTGGCAGATGCCACATGGGGTTTGAAGTGCTACCACTGCAATGCTTCTTGGAGGGAAGCATACTTGCAGTTTGGGTTCAGTCACTGGAACCCAGTGGCCAAAAGAAGGACCAGGCTGGGAGATACTGTGGACACAAGAAGGTGACCACTTGCAAAAAGACAGTGCCACCTTAAGGTCTTGCAAAAGGGCTGAAGCCAATGGTCCTGCAAAAGGGCTGAAGCAAAAGGTCTTAAAAATGACCATACACATGGAGAAGACACCAATGAAGGAGAAAAAATGGAGAGCAGTGGGGATGTATGGTGTTGCAGGCTGCTTCTTTTGCCATGGGCTTGGCAGATGCAAATGTGTTTGCAGCATGTCCTATAAACTTGAATCTCTCTGTTGCAGTTATGCTCAATCTCAGCAGCTTCAAAACCTCGCCTGTTGGAAGATTGGCCCTGCAAAGAGGGCTATCTGCAGCTGGCCCTGCAAAGAGGGCTGCCCATGTCCCTCATGAAACCTGGGAGGAAAAGAAGGAAAGGTGCAGGAAATTCACAACCTGCTAAGAGGGTCCCATTCCCTGAGTTAAGCCAGCAAAAACTGGATGACAAACTTTATGCTTATACTCGGGCAATGGGGATCAAAGAAGCCTTGAATTTGCATGAATATTTGAGGCTGGAGCCACAACAGGCAGAATCTTGCAGGAGCCTGTGCAAGCTCAGCAAGCTCTTGACTGCCCTGGTGGAGGTGTCACCTTCTGCAAAGGTGAAGTACAGGTACCTGAAGCACAGCATGGTGTACTTGCAGCAGACATGGGGCTGTGAGCTGCTGTCTGCACACTGGACATGTGAGAAGGGCTTGCTGGCAGGGAGGGCAGCAGATGCACTGCTTGTGGTTCTAAACCACTGGAGAAGGTGCACTGCTTCCCCCACAGCATGGCAAAGGTTTTGCTCCAAGCTGGATGAAAGCCAATGCCAGCTGATGGAGCAGGTGAAAAAGAAGATGGTGATTGAGAAGCCAAAGAGAAAGCTGCTGCCAAATGTGTCAGATGTGAGCATGGACTCCAAGGGCTTCCCAGCCATGACAGCCCATGGAAAAGAGGAGGAGGAGGAGTCAGAAGAAGAAGAAGAAGAGGAATATGATGAGACAGAGAAGGAAGATGAGGATGAGAAGGAGGCTGTGACAAAGAAGGCCAAAAAAAGCGACCTGGATGCCATGGAAAGTTCCCCACCACCTGTGGTGAAAAAGGACTGGAGAGCTGCAGCAGGCTGCAACATAAAGAAGCCTGCCTCCAAGCTGGTGGGCAAGAAGAAGGGGAAGGTGAGTGTTGCAGGCCTTGCAAAAGGGCCTAAAGCAAAGACAGGCCCTGGAAAAGGGCCTAGCAAGTGCAAGGGCACTGAAAAAGTGCTCATTCACCAGGCTAGCCTTTCCATTGGAGGGGGCAAAAACCAAGCCTACATACAACATGTCCCTGGGCCAGGAGACAGCAAGAGATTAATCATAGGGATCACAAAGCTTCAGGCTAGCAACACAACCAAGACACACAAGGAATTGGTGGAACTTTTGCTCCCTGCCTGCAAGAAGGCAAAGGCCACAAAGGCTGATGTAGTTGCTGAGAGGGCAAAGCTCCTCAGCAAGTTTGCCAAGTAGGTCCTGCAGCTGTCTGCAGTTGGGCCTTGCAAAAGGGCTTAGACAGAGAACTGCTGTGTCCCAGCAAAAAAATGCCAAGCTGGAGCATGTTACTTGTGGGATTGTGGGGGGGACCAAGCAGCACCAGTGTGAATCCAACACAGCTACACAAACTGCAATCTGAAGTGTATGGCCCAAGTCATCGCCTTAGTCTTGTGCTGGGCCCTGCAGGGGCCTGGCTTCTGCACACAGCAACTGGGCCTTGTACAAGGGCTCCCACTACAGGCCTTGGAAAGGGGCTTGGACTTGGAAGGTCCTGCAAAAGGGCTGGCAATGGAACCAAAAGAGGAGCCAGAGCTGACCTGGCTGCAGAAGAAAAGAAGGAGCCTGCCAAAAAGGATGGCAAGCATGAGCAGAAAAATGAATGGTGGGAGGAGGACTGGAAAAAAGGTGGTAAAAAGTGGGATGACTGGTGGGAAGAAAAAGAGGAGCAATGGCAAGCATGGTCCAAAAACCAGAGGTGGGAACCAGATGGTGAGGATACAGAAGAGGAGGAAGTGCCTTCCAGCAGCACCCAGAAGAAAAACAAATGTGGCTCACAGAAAGAAAGGGCCAAGAGAAGGTGGCTCATGAAAACCTGCAAGAATGAGAGCCAAGAGGAAAAGGAGAAGCTGGGTGCCTTGGGAGCATGCAGGCTGAAAAGGCTCCTGGACAGGCAAGAAGACAGGAAAAACAAGCTGGAAGCAGCCCAGCTGGCACAGGCAGCAGCAGGAAATGCTGCAGCTGCTGCCCAAGCTGCCCAGGCTGCAGCTGCATCTGCCCAATGGCAACAATGGCAGATGCAGCAGGCCCAGCTGGTGGAAGCCCAAGCCATGTGGCACCACCATGCCTACTACCAAGGTCAAGGTGGCCAGCCACACCAATGGGGCTGGCACCACCAGACCATGGAGCAGCCTGTGGAGCAGCCCAAGCAGCCAAAGCCACACAGGCACCAGCCAGGACTGGTGTGTTACATTCTTGATTTTTTGCAACCCTACTCCTTTCCACATGTTTGCTGGCTATGTCTTTGTGGCATTACAGGACCAGTGGCCACTGGCAGTGCTGCAGCTGGTGCTGGTGCAAAAGGAGGAGGGGGGCCACCACAGCATCCAAACACATCTATATAGAAATTAATTTCTCATGCATGTCATTATGGCAATTTCATAGGTGCATCTACATACATCATTGGGCCTTTGAATTTGTGATGCTGCACACACTTCTATGGACACCAACCACTGCAACATATTTGTTTGGCACCTGCCATTTGGGGCACCCATGCATTCTGTCAGCCACAGCCAACATTTGGAATTTAACCACTGTAAATGCACCATATGTGTTCATAAGTGCAGTTCTTGGTATGCCACACACACACTACAGTAAAATGTTTGGATATGTTGTAGCATCACCCTTCTCACTATCTTCACTATTTTCACCCAATTTCCTCCTGGCAACCTTGCCAGGATCCCAGGGGCCAGCCCCAGCACAGCCTGGGAGAAAAGGCCAAGGCAAGACTGCCAGGCCAAAGAGGGCAACACACCCACCAGCTGACCTGCATGGCAAGAGGGCTGAAGCTGCAGGGGCACTGGATGGGATTGAAGTGAAGGATGAGGAGTCCTCTGATGGCTGGCATGAGGTGAAGCCCAAGGGAAGAAAGCAAAAGAAGTGAGGGAGTTTCACCCACTTTAGGCCCTGCAAAAAGGGCTTGGCCAGCATTGGGTCCTGCAAAAGGGCTGGCATCAGCTGTCTTGAAAAAGGCACCCAAAACAGAGCACAGCAAACCTGCCCTTCTGGAAAATATGTCATCAGCTTGGGTTGGGCTTGGTTTGGAAAAGCAAAAACCTCATATGCGCTCATATGAGATCATATGAGGTGAAGGCACCTCATATGAGGCAAAAACTGTCTCATATGAGGCAAGACTACCTCATATGAGGGCAGCTTGCCTCATATGAGCTCATATGAGATCATATGAGGCTAGTGTCTTTCCTCCACTTTCTGGTGAAAACTTGCCTCCCAACAAAATGCTGCCATGAGAGTGTTGCCACTGCCATGTTTCATGGCCACCACTGAGGAAACTTCTGTTCAGCAGCATTTAGGCTTGGAGACACCCAAAACAAACTGGTAGATTGGGCCTTGCCAAAGGGCTCTTTGGCAAGGGTTTTTTGGCCTTGAGAGAGGGCTACCCAAGATGGCACCCAAAAAGGTCATGAAGGTGCTGAACTTGAAGTTAAAAAGGCCTGCAAGTGCCTTAGACCAGCTGAAGAAAGATGAAGGAGAGGGAATGAGCTTGGAAGACAAGATGGCTGCCTTTCAGAAGAAAGGCAACCAGGATGTGGGGCAGTTCCTGGACACCCTGACAAAAGGTCAGAGGGAAGCACTGTGGCAGAGGTTCTCCTCTGCCAGAGCCAGCATGAAGGACAAGGAGTGTGATACCCTATGGCAGGAAGTGGCCAAAGGAAAAGGCAGTGACCCAGCAAAGAAGAAGCTTTTGGGCTGCTTCTTGAAGCTGGGAGGAGACCTGAAGGGGAAAAGGGAGGTGTACCTCCAGGAGCTGGTGTCTTACACCAAAAGCTCTGGTGCCTTGGTTGCTTGTGGCTGCTCCTTCCACCTGGCTGGGTCTGTGCTTCTGCACCCTGCAATGTTTTTTCTAAGGTGAAAGGAGCTCAGAGGAGTGGGTGCCTTTTGCTGTGGTGCTGCAGCGGTTTGGCCTCCATGAGTGCATGAGAAGGGCAGCTTGGCATGTTTAAGGTTTGTGCTGAAAGCTGGTGCAAACATGTTTTTTTTTGTGAAATTAGCTTGCCTTGTCAGGTAAAGAGAGGCAGCATAGGTGTCAGAAAAGACCCTGCTGACCCTGCTGAGTGGCAGTTCACCTTGAGGAAAATAATCACATGGACTGAAGAGAAAAGCCAGCATGAACTAAAAGGTGAAGCAAAGGCCAAAGGAGAAGCCTGTCAGTGGCTGGAGCTCAAAGCCCAAGGCCTTCTGGCAGATGGGGAAGGGCCTGCTGCAAGCTCCAAGGCTGCCAAAGCTTTGGAGGATGTGCTGAGCAAAGACAAAAGCAAGTTGGCAATCATGGACAAGCAGTCTGGGCAAGCAAGTGAAGAAGAGGCAGCAGCCAGCCCTAAGAAAGATGAGGATGATCAGGTGGTGGAAGCTGACCTTCTCTCTGAGATGGGAAGCAAAGTTGCTAAGGAAGAGGCCCAAGTGAGGGTGAAGAGAATGATGAAGCTCCTGAAAGGAGTGAAGAAGGAGGTTGGTGCAGCAAAGGCTAAGTCTTTGGACCTGTGCCTGGCTGACCTTCAGAAGCTGGACAAGAAAGGGAAAAAGGTCAGCCTGGAAGAAGCCAAAGGGAAGCTGTTTGATGCTGCCCTGCAGATCAAGAAGGCCAAGAGGAAGTGAGTTATTATTTTTGGGTGGCCTTGCAAAAGGGCTAAACAGATATTGTTAGCTTGGTCTTGTGCAAGGGCCTGACAAAGAGTCAGTGTTGGCCTTGCCAAAGGGCTATGTTTGGTAGTTCTGCCAGAAGGCACATGACCATGTGGCACATGACAGCAGGCATGAGAAGGTAAAAAATGCTTCCACCTCACCTTTGCCTTGTAAAGCTGTGGGCCCAAAGCCATGGGCTACTGTTGCATGGCCAAGCTTTAGCACATGGAACACACTTGCTTGTTTGTGGTAAGCTTTTGGCTTCAAGATGGCCCCTTCCCTAGAAGCTTTTGTTGGGCAGTGGCTTTTGTGGGTCTTGCAAAAGGGCCTGGGTTAGCCTGCTGGCCCTGAACAAGGGCTTGGGGAATATGGCCAAATGGAAGAGAAAGAAGCATGGTGTCCCTGAGGAGCCCACTGCAGAGGAGCATTTGAGCCCTCTTGGCCTAGCACTTCTGGAGCAATTTGCACATGGGATGTCTGTTTCTAGTCTTGGCTTAATTTGTCCCATGATGCAGTGGCAGAAACCTTCAGCTGCCCACTCCCTTTTGACACCAGCATTTTGCCACACTGTTGTGGATGAACCTGTTGCCATCTAAGGGCCCTTCTGTTCAACACCTTGCTTTGGCTGCTGTGAAGTCTGGTGCTGCAACAGATGACATCCAAGTCTTGGCCAGCCTGGGAAACTTTGGCAGGAATGAAAACCATGTGGCAGGACAAATCACTTCAAGGTTTTGCAAAAATGATTCCTTGGACCTCCCTGTGCCTTACTGCTTTGAAGCTCCAGTCTTGAAGAAAGGCACAGACAGCTGGTACCTAGCAAATCAGACTTTGGCAGTGTTCTTGCCCCATGAATGGTTCTGTTGGGTGGAACATCATGACAATGTTTCTGGCTTTTCTGGGTTGCAGAGCTTTTGGGATGAGCATGATGCTGCTGATCCAAAGCTGTGCAAGAATCCCATGAAGGGCAGCAGGCACCTGTACCTGCCTCTGGTCATTGATGGGGATGGTGGTCAATTTCAAAAGTGGGATTCAACCACTATCATCTCAATGAGATCACTCCTATCAGCTGACAATGTTGCATCCAGCCAAATGCTCCTAGCAGCTATCCCCAAGGGCTGCCAGCACAAGAGTGAAAACCCAGATGAAGACACCATGACAGTGGTTTGGAAAGTGCTTGCTTGGTCATTCCAGCATCTCTATTATGGCAAATTTCCAGAATTTGACCATTTGGGGAAACCATGGCCTGCAAAAACAAAGAGGGCAGACCAAAGTGGCTCCCATCTGTGGACACAGAGGGTCAGAGGCTGCTTGTTCTGTGTCACTGCAGATGGGGAGTTCCTGCAAAATGAACTCAAGCTGCCTGGGCACAGCCACAACTCCTGCTGCTTTTCTTGCCAAGCAAACAAGAGCGACATACCTCACAATGACTTTAGAGCTACAGCAAAGTGGAGATCTACCTTGACCAAGCCTGGGACACCTCTTCCTGGTGGCCATCCTCTTGGTGCAGTACCTGGCCTGAATACATTCAGTGTCCACTATGATACTTTGCACTGCCTGGAAGAAGGGGTGGCGGCACATGCCCTGGCCAACACCTTCTTTGACCTAGTTGTGAGAGGCCATGCTGGAGCTGGGACCCAGGATCAAAACCTCCAGGCTGTCTACAGGCAGATCAGGCAACAGTACTTGGAACAAGGCATAGATGCCAGCCACAGGATTAAAAAATTGAGCCTCACAAATTTTTCAGCCAGGGAGAAGAAGTATGAAAAGTTTCCTGATTTAACAGGATTCAAGGCAAAGCAGATTCGCTACCTTGCGCCCGTGATGGCAGAGATTCTGCAGTTCTACACTGATGAGGATGATGCCTATAGCCTCCATAGGCTCCAATGCTTACAGAACTTGAACAGCATGTATGAGCTCATGGACTGTGGCCTTCACATGGGCAAGGAGAGCATCTTGCAGTTCAAAAAAGTTACAGACCTGTGTCTTCTTCACTTTGCAAGGTGTGCAAAGCTGGCTATGGAAGCTGGGTTGCTCCAATGGAACCTGATCCACAAGCACCACCTTGTTGCCCACATGCCTGCTCAAGCTGCCTATTTGAACCCAAAGCTGGTCTCAACATACTCAGGTGAAACAATGGTGGGATTTATGGCCAGCCTGGCCCATGCCTGTCTGAATGGAAGTCCTCCCCACTTGGTACCTGAAAAAGTCCTGTGGAGGTTCAGGTTGGGAATGTGGCTGAAATACATCCATGGATCAGAAACTTTGGAGTCTGAGAGCAGCAGTGGTGAGTAGAAGTTGTGTAAAAAAGCTTTGGACCTTGGGAAAGGGCTCCACCCTGGCCCTGCAAAAGGGCTTCAAAGTCCTGCCAAAGGGCTGCAGCCCACTAGCTTGGGGACCAAGATTTGCACAGTCAAAGGAAAAAAGTGCAGCTGAACTGAAGATGTTTCAGCATGTCAGTTTGACACCCATGTGCAGAGCTTCAAGCATGTCAGCTTAGCAGCTCTATGAATCTAATGACTCAAACCATTAAACTTATTGAAATGGAGCTTCTTGAAATAGGAATCCATTTCAATAAGCTTTATTGGTTCATTTCAAAAAAGTTATTGAAACACTAACCAATAAGAAAATGAAGGTTTTATTGGTTTGTGTTGTGATTATTGAAATTGACGTGAATTATTGAATCTTTTCAATAAGGCGTACTCTGGGTACGTACGTAGGTACGTACGTAGGTATGTATGTATGCATGTATGTATGCATGTATGTATGCATGCATGTATGCATGCATATATGTATGTATAGGTATATGTATATGTATATATGCATATAGGTGTATACGTATATGTATATATGTATATATGTATATATGTATATATGTATATATGTATATATGTATATATGTATATATGTAAATGTATATATGTATATGTAAATATGTATATATGTGTATGTATGTATGTATGTATGTATGTATGTATGCATGCATGCATGCATGCATGCATGTATGTATGTATGTATGTATGTCTGTGTGTGTATGTATGTATGTATGTATGTATGTATGTATGTATGTATGTATGTATGTATGTATGTATGTATGTATGTATGTATGTATGTATGTATGTTTGTATGTATGTTTGTATGTATGTATGTATGTATGCATGCATGCATGCATGCATGCATGCATGCATGCATGTATGTATGTATGTATGTATGTATGTATATGTGTGTGTGTGCATGTATAAATAGATATACAATGTACACATGTGCATACATGTGTATATATATATAGTTATAAAGTCCGTATGATTCAGTATTCAGTATGCATGTATATGGAACATGATAGGGAATGAATAGATTCAAGCTGACAACTGATAATATCTACATATAGAGAATATGATTGGGGAATATTCCACAGAAAGTCTCTAATTTCCTTCCTGATTAATCAGCGCAGAAGTTGCCAAAACCGCTAAAAGATTGGTTGTTCAATCAGGAGTTAATGTGGACCGAAAGGCCTTTTCAATGACAAGGAACTCTAGAAACTCTTGGAGGTTTCCTGCAAATTTCCTCCGGTTATGAACCAAGAACCTTGAAGGCTTGGTACAACATCTTGATTTTAGATCCAAAAATAGCACACTTTAATCTAGTTGGTGGTTTCAACCCCTCTGAAAAATATGAAAGTCAATTGGGATTATTATGCCCAATATCTGGAAATTCACAAAAATCATGTTCCAAACCACCAACCAGTAATGACTTTGGGATGGGTCAAAAGCCTGGTTTCCGACGGTACACCCAAATAGCAGGTACCAATTCATTGATCTCCAAACTGACTACGGGTCAGTGTCATCAACTCCTGCCGCACCGCGACAATTTGTTGAAGAATTTTATTTAGCCGCTAAGCTTTTTGTTGTTGAGCGATACCGTTGAGCTTCGCTCGATGTGCCACTTTTTGTTTGCAGGCTCAATCTCATACATTCTGCCTCTATCTTCAGCTGTCAGATTTGAAAAGGAAGTGAATCCTCCCAGATTCACAAGTCCCCTGACAGTTGATTGTCGACCAACATCTCAAGTTCACCTGGCAGCTCATTGAGATCTTCACTACACGCTGTCTCCAAATGTTCTTGCATATATACTGTATATATATATATATATGATAAAGCATCGTTAGCCGAATTTAAAAAGCAACTCACCTATCTAGGGTCTCTCCACATTGTATGATTCAACATCAATGAGGCAGTCGTGGTCACCTTACAGGTGCTCAATCCTGGTCACGAACAGGAATCCCAGTGAAAATGGCTTGTGATAATCCTCAGGGTAGAATGACATAGAGTACATAGAGTATAACAGCCTATAATATTTTCACCCAACCATACTTTATGAAATTTACATCTCCATATGGTAGATACATCAAAAAGACCATATGAACCTGCAAATTCATGGTGAAACCCCATCCAAAATCGCAGAACAATTTCGGTGTTTTTAAGTAGCATCTTCCCATGCCAGGTTTTCTAGAAAATCCCATAGAAAATAAGAATAGACATAGAAAAATAACTTTTATCTCATACAAACCATAGAAAACTAACAAATCCCACTGCGTTCAAAATAAAATTCTCTGAGTGTCAGGCTCTGATATTCATCAAACCTGTCAGAATCAAGTCGCGGAAGGATGGCGGAAAAGTGTGCGCTTAAAAAAGCTCCTACTTGAAGCACCACCTACAAATTTTGTTCCAGGATCCAAAAACCATGACTATATACATATAATTATAATATTACATATGTATATATATATATATACATACACATAATAGTAAATAGTATACATATATATATATATATATGTGTAACACCTATATATATACACATACATATATATATATATAATTATATATATACGTGTACATGTATATGATTAGGAACCAGCCTATATAGTGATACTGATCAGCATCACAACCAACTTTGTGCATCTTATGGAGTGGCACTTCTCACATTTCAAACTTCCAAGGATATGACATGAATCTGCATGTCCCAACATAACAGTTGCAGTTCCGACATCACTTCTCGATTTGCGCTGATCATCGCAAGTTCAAACGACAACATGCATTAGCGTTCGAAGTCGCAAGACGAATGTCATGCTCAGCTTAGTCTTTAGTTTATGTTTTTCCAGTTGAGATGTTGCTTTCTGATTCAATCACCTGATAGTTTTCTTCGGTAAATGCGTATAATTCATCCACTTTGATCACTTTGACTTTGGTTGTTGGTTAAATCATCTATATGTATATATATATGTATAACACATACATGGATATATAACTATAACACATATTTCAAAATATTTTAAAATTATATATATATATACAGATGTGTAGTTTGTTGTTGGTTAAATCACATATTTCTTGGTGACTTCTCCAGCTCTTTCCTGCCTAGCCATGAGCACCTTCTGTTGTCGGTCGAAGCGGCGGCAAAAACCTTGGAGTCTTGGCGACGCCGGCGCATGGGGATTCGTCATGGTCGCGGAAGTCTGAAATTATACAATGGGATATATATGGGATATATATGGGTATAACCAGGTTGGTGGTTTTAAATCTGGTTGGTGGTTTTAACCATCTTGAAAAAATATGAAAGTCAATGGGAAGGATTTTTACATATATTATGGACAATAACAGTGGCATAGTCATGGGATCTGTATATATATAATATAATTTGCATAGTCATGGAAAATCCATCACTTTCAATAGGTACTGTACATCGAACAAAATGGGTCATGAATGGTCAAGTCATGACTTCCATATGTTAAATAACCGGAGGGTATGTGTAAATCCCCATCAAACAATCCCAGAAACCATGGAAAAAACCATGGTGTTTAGTATTGGGATGGGATGAAAGTATGGAGAGTTGTGGATCTGTCTGAAAACTATGTATTACCATTACTATGTATATATCAGTAATGATATATTACAGTACAACTATATATATTTCTATGTATATACTATGTATTACCATTCTAATATATATATATACAGTAATTACTATGTATTAGCATTAATATATATATATATAAATGAATCATATACTATACAATGTCGTACCCCAGTTCGATAGCTAAGTTAGTTTATAAGTTCAATAACTGTGGTCTATGATACTTATAACGAACTAGTTTTCATGGTGTGTATAAGCCAACAAACATAACTGGGGGGGGCACCACTTTGTAGGGGGCAAAACAAGGGGATTCTGAAAATGGGAATTATATTCTGATAGAGAAAAATGAAGATAAAACATAATAAAACACTGTTTTGATTATGACTCCGAACTCTGTTAATAAAACGTAGGATTAAATGAAACGAAGGATAAGACATAGGAAAAACATAGGAATTCTGAAAATCATAAAACAGTCAATTATATATATATATATATATGTTAATAAAACATAGGATTAAAAAACAAAAAACAGAGGGAAAAATGCAGATATCCTTTAGTTTTTTTAAACATTGAGAGTTAACTGATCCTGAAAATTAGCAATAAAGTGAGTGGAAACTACTCTGACAAAACCCCTATCTGGCAAGGTCTATGTTAGTTAATTGGGGGGTATCATGGGAATATGATGAACATAACCATAGGAAGTTATAAGGAGTTTAAGTATATTGGGGTTAAGATTGATTTGAGGGATTAAAAAATACCAAAGATCCCAACAACAACAACAACAGGAATTTATAGGGATAATTTGGGATTCATGGAGAAAAACTAACCATCAATACATGTTCAAAATGGTGATTTTACAAAATCACGCTTTGGGACTTTCTCATATCCCATAGGATCCATGTATGATATATATGCGAACATTGGGGGTATATTGATGGTAAAAGTTACCACATATAGCATACATGGATCCTATGGGTATCTAAGTTTCATATTAAGTCCCCATTAAGTCAAGTGAGATGAGCCACCAACTTAGGCAACTATGGGGCACTACCATCAGTGTTCCGCGTGTGAATGTGTGACCTTCAACCGCAACTTGGGGATGGTTTGATCAACATTCTCCCAGATGTGTCATGATTTTTCAGTTCAAAATCCAGAAGTTTCCCAGAAAATCCCAGATGTTTCATGATTTCCCCAGAAAACATCCTGATTTTTTAGATTGTTCATGATTTTTCATGTTAAAATCCCAGAAAATCCCAGATTGTAAGGGGGGGGTTCCTTAAGTCCTGGATCAGTCAAAGGGTTTCAACACATGGTCAGCCGGTCAGCCCTGAGGGCACCACTTTGGAAGTCTTTCTTGGCATCAACGACTCCTGGCGGGCGCA